AGTGTAAGGAAGAAAAAGTGAGTGTAGGGGCCCGAAAACAGAGGAGTGAAAGGGAAGAACAGTGAGTGTGAGGACATGACAAAAGGATGTAGAGGAATGAAAAACAGAGTGATGTAAGGAATAAAAACGTGATGTAGAGGACATGACAAAGAGTGAGTGTAAGGACAGAACAGAGTGAGTGTAGAGGACATGACAACAGAGTGAGTGTAGAGGACATGACAACAGTGAGTGTAGAGGACATGACAACAGTGAGTGTAGAGGACATGACAACAGTGAGTGTAGAGGACATGACAACAGAGTGAGTGTAGAGGACATGACAACAGAGTGAGTGTAGAGGACATGACAACAGTGGGGTGTAGGAATGACAACAGAGTGAGTGTAGAGGACATGACAACAGTGAGTGTAGAGGACATGACAACAGAGTGAGTGTAGAGGACATGACAACAGAGTGAGTGTAGAGGACATGACAACAGAGTGAGTGTAGAGGACATGACAACAGAGTGAGTGTAGAGGACATGACAACAGAGTGAGTGTGGGAGGACATGACAAAACAGAGTGAGTGTAGAGGACATGACAACAGTGAGTGTAGAGGACATGACAACAGAGTGAGTGTAGAGGACATGACAACAGAGTGAGTGTAGAGGACATGACAACAGTGAGTGTAGAGGACATGACAACAGAGTGAGTGTAGAGGACATGACAACAGTGAGTGTAGAGGACATGACAACAGAGTGAGTGTAGAGGACATGACAACAGTGAGTGTAAAAGGAACATGACAACGGGAGTGAGTGTAGAGGACATGACAACAGAGTGAGTGTAGAGGACATGACAACAGAGTGAGTGTAGAGGACATGACAACAGAGTGAGTGTAGAGGACATGACAACAGAGTGAGTGTAGAGGACATGACAACAGAGTGAGTGTAGAGGACATGACAACAGAGTGAGTGTAGAGGACATGACAAGAGTGAGTGTAGTGACATGACAACAGAGTGAGTGTAGAGGACATGACAAGAGTGAGTGTAGTGACATGACAACAGAGTGAGTGTAGAGGACATGACAAGAGTGTGTGACATGACAACAGAGTGAGTGTAGAGGACATGACAAGAGTGAGTGTAGTGACATGACGAACAGATGTTAGGAGTAAGTGTAGAGGACATGCACTAAGAGTGAGTGTAGTGACAGGACAAGCAGAGTGAGTGTTTTTTAGAGGACATGACAAGAGTGAGTGCTAGTGACAATGACATCAGAAGTGAGTGTAGAGGACATGACAAGAGATGTAGTGTCATGACACGGAGGTGTGTAGAGGACCATGGACAAGAGTGAGTGGGACTTGTGACATGACAACAGATTGTGAGTGATGAGGACAATGACAAGAAGTGGAGTTGTAGTGACCTGACAGTACAGAGTGAGTGTACGAGGACATGACAAGAACGTGAGTGTCAGTGGTCATGTCACAGTGTGAGTGTAGAGGTCATGTCAAGGAGTGAGTGTAGGTGACATGACAACAGAGTGGTGTAGAGAGACTATGCAAGAGTGAGGTAGTGGTACATGACAACAGAGTGCGTGTAGGGAACATGACGTCAAGAGTGTCGTGAATGGCAACAGCAAGTGAGTTGCTAAGTGGACATGCCTAGTGTGAGTTGTAGTGATCATGACAACAGAGTGAGTGTAGAGGTACATGAAAGATGTGAGATGTATTGACATGACAAACAGAGTGAGTGTCTGGAGCGACATGACATTGTGTGTGGGACAATGCCATCAGTGTGAGTGTAGAGGACATGAAAGAGTGTGTGTTGTGATTGACAACAGAGTGAGTGTAGAGGACATGACAAGAGTGAGTGTGATGTGACATGACGAAACAGAAAGTTGGGGGGGCGGGGGGAGTGTAGAGGACATGTCAAGAGTGGTGTATGACATGGCTAGAAGAGGTGAGTGTAGAGTGAAATGTCAAGAGTTGAGTGTTAGTGACCATGACAAACAGAGTGAGTCGTAGTGAAATAACAAGAGTGAGGTGTTAAGGACATGACAAGTGTGAGTCTTGTGACATGACAAACTGAGTGAGTGGATGTGACATGTCAACAGTAGTCGCCACACACATCTTGCTGTTAAGTAATGACAGGTTCCTGCACCACCAGTATCCAGAAGTTGCTTGACGCTCCCGGAGGATTTACTCCGATTCTCCGGTCTAATTATGCGACTTCACTGTGCGTCATCTCCAATGAGGTCTTATCTGGCTCTTGTCTTCCAGTCTGTTTATATATGGCTTTGTCTTACAGGGATATATCTGGCTTTTCGTCTTCCGGGTTATAGCTTCTGCTTTGTCTTCCAGAGTTAATATCTGGCCTTGACTTCACAGGGTTTGAATTTGGCATTGTCCTTCCCAGAGTTATATCTGGCCTTTGTCTTCCAGAGTTATATCTGGCTTTGTCTTCGCTAGGGTTTATATCTGGCGTTGTCATTACAGGGTTATATTCTGGCCCAAGGTGGCCTGGTGGCTAAAGCTTCCCGCGCTTCAACACTCGGAGGGCCGCGGGTTTCGTTTCACGGCGGGTGGGACTACATTTCGACACGATTTCCATGTACACCTATTGTTCCTGTTCCCTAGCAGTAAATAGGTACCTGGGGTTTAGTGGACCCAACCTCCACCCTCCTCGTCAGGTGAGTGTTGTGGGTGGACTTTCCTGGGTGTTAGTGGACTGGTGTGGGTGGCATCCTGGGTGTTAGTGGACTGGTGTGGGTGGCATCC